CAAGTGAAATAAGACTCATATGTAGGAGATTGTTGTTGCAATATAACACGTTCTCTTCAGAATTTGCTGAAATAAACAAATTGAATTAGTATTTAACTTTAAATTATATAGACTTTAGTTAATTAGGTAACGATAAACAATAAACTGTGTAATAATAATAAGATGGTTGTGACTTTTTCTATTTTACATCTATACTGTGTTGTGATATAATGAATAATTATTGTATTATTCTATTACTATTATTAAATATTTAATGAACTAATTTTGGATACAAAGACTACTTTGAATGTATAAGTGTACTGGCTAAAAAGCTGTGACTTTCTTTTAACATCTAAATTAAAGACTTACTGAAATATACATATCTGATTAGTATGTGACTTAAATTGATTAGACTTTTAGTTAATTAATTAATGATAATCAATAAGATGTGAAATAGTAGTAAAATAATGGTGTCTTTCTTCCACTTTTACATTTGCACTGTGATGTGTTACAAGAAATAATCATTGTATTGTATTATTCTATTAATAATAATCCAAGACATAAATAATGAACGCTAATGCAGTAGACTTACAGTTATGAAAATAATTAATATGTGCATACTGGTGTTTTGATATATATGCATATATTATCTTAAGTCGGTGAAATACGTTGTGGATATGGACCTCTTGGAAATCATGATCACTCATGGCTTGTATAATGCTCCTGAGATTTATTAGACTTCTGGCGATTTACCATCTGGTTGTTGTCATCACCTAGATAAGTGAAACAATTGTTATTGTGTGTAGTGAATAAGTAGAAATATGTGCTGAGATATGCAAAGTTATTTCACTATACAAGTTGTCAATGACTAAAAGATCCTTGTTTTAGATATCGTAAATTTCAATATTTGAATATTGTTAATAAACTTTAATATTTAGATATCGTTATAACAGATTAATATAGCCTGTGATGGTGAAATACATTTTCATATTGTAAAGACAATAGTAATCCTATGGATTATTAATTAGATACTAGACTCTTGCATTAAAGGTCAGTTTGATAGTCTTTTTGTGCAGGACTTGGAGGGGACAATGAATTTGCTTATTAGGTCTTGAATGAGCATTGAATATATATGGACATAATTTAAATACTTATTATCTAGTATTTAGTACTTGTGTTATATCATGGACAGACTTTTCATAGACTTATATGATAATAGTTGAATACCCAAATATTAAAAGATTATTGTGTCAGAATTGTAGTGAAATATTAACTAATTATATTGTGATATACTAATCTGATCCTTTTGTACACTATAATTTGCTGATTAGTCTTGATAAGATGATCTTCAGTAATTCTGTAATTAGCAGGAAATTCAAATATTTAGTACCTTATCTCTAAGCTAGACAATTACATGTGACTTTCAGTTTTTGGTGATAAAATAGTGAACTTAGGTATAAAGATTTTATACTTACACACATATACATATATGGAACGTATGTGTTGATTGATTTTATCCTTGCATATTTCAGACGTTTTTTGTCATTTAGGGTCAGTTATGACCTTACTGTGTAGCATTGTGATGAGATGATGATGATTTGTCTATTATAAACAATGGATAAATATATATTGACGTTATCTAAAACATTTTAGTACTTAGTACTTATACTAAGTTATAAACATACTTATATGACAATCTTGAATAATCTAATAATTGATTATTATTATTTTGTCAAAATTAAAGTGATCTACTATCTAAATTATTGTGACAATTACATTTATTTCAATTCTTTCAAACACTAATGATTGATCTTAATAATATGATAATATTGAAATTTGAAACTATTTGAGACTAAGATAAAGTTAATTTAATATATCATTTAAATTAGGTAACTTTATAATAGTGTGTTACTCAAGATACAAATAGTTAATTAACGCCAAATCAAATAAACTCACAATTATAAATGTGTAAATTTTGGTGCTTTGATGAATGTGCATACATCGCCTTAAGTTGGAGAAATGCTCTGCGGATGTTTCTAGACCTGCGTTGGCAATTGGCTTCCTACTGACTGTATCATGTTCCTGGGGATTCTTTAGAGACTCCTGAGAATTCTTTGTGGGACACTTCCATCCGGATGCTGTCATCACCTTTTTTTTTGTGACGCTGGGGAAACGGTCATGCTACCACACACCCCCGGGTAGGGGTGTGGGTTATGTGGGACTCCTTGTTCCCCTTGGTCGAGCCACGAATGGTTCGACCAGGGGGCCCAAGACCTACCTCACTAAAACCCCAGCGGGTGTCCATCTCGGGCGTTGGATAGAGGACGGCGAGGATGCTGAAATCCCATGCCGTCCCGCCGCTCCCCCGCCAAGCCATCTCCGGAGAGCTGCCTTAGCCTTGCGGCCAAGACCCCTCCCCGACCGCGCAGTCAATGACTGCGCGGTTCCGTCCCGGTTGCGGCGCAGGGCGACACCGACCCCACACCGCGCCCTCCCAAAGAGTTTGGGGGGCGGAGCCATGGCTCGAGAACTCCCACTCGAGCCATCGCCCCCCGCCTCCCCGGTGGTCGCGACCCCCGGACTCCCTAGAGGGTGACCCGGTTCGGCGTTCCACCAGGGGAGCCCTCACCAGAGGGCTCCTCTCTGAAGGAAAGGAACCCCCTTCCGTGGACGGCGTTGCCCTCCCGCCGGTGCCTCCTGGCTCCCGGCGGGAGGGCCCCGCGCATCACGTCTTCACAGAGGGGGACCCAGGCGCCCCGGCCTGACAGACAGCGCCTGCCCGTCGGGGACGCGTGGCCCCCCCCCGGCCCCCCAGCCGCGTCCCCCCCCCCGCTCCTTTGAGAGCCAGGGATCGGCCGTGGCCGGAGGGGTTTGCCCTAGCCGGGCACATAGAGCGCCCCCCCATAGTGGAGTGACGCACCCACGCGCCCGGCCCGCGTGAGGCTCCCGGGGGGGAGGGCCTTTGGGACTTAGTTGTCCCCGCCCCCCCCCGAACCCTCATACCGCGTCAATTATTGACGCGGGTATGTTTGAGACGGACCCCCCCCCCCCCGATCCACGCCGTTACAAACGGGCAAGCCCATCGGCGGCGCGGAAAGAGAGGGCCCGGCCCCTCCTCCCATGGGTGCGTTCCTCCTTTGGAGGTCGTACCCCCCCCGTTCTCCACCACCCCCGGCGGGCGGACCCGCCGACGGCGGAGGAGGGGAAGGAGGCACACCCCCCCGTCTGTTTGGTTTCTTCTTCTTCTTCCTCCCTTTCTTCCACGCCCACCAGGGGCGCCCCCTCTCCGATCCCCGGCGCCACAAACAAGCGGACCCGCCGATGCCGGGGAAAGAGGGGGGACGTCCCCGCCCTCCTCCTCTCTCTCCTCCCCCATTCTCTCTCTCTCCCTCTCCGCCTCCTCCTTCTGCAGCATGACTTCGCCGCAGAAGGAGAACGTCCTCCATGCGTCCTCATTGTCTGTCATTGCCCTCACTACCGAGGGCAATGACAGATCCCTCCCCACCGCGGCCACGAGCCTCTCTCTCTCTTCCGCCCAGGCAACACACTCAGCGAGTGTATGCTGGGCGGTGTCGCGCTCGTGGCCGCAGTGATGGCACCGCGTCGTGCGCTCTTTACCAATCCTGTGCAGGTACTCACCGAAACACCCATGTCCGGTGAGCACCTGCGTCATGTGGTAGGACACCCCACCTTTGGCCCTGTCTAGCCAGTTTTCTAGACAGGGCCGTATGGCCCCGACGGTGCGCTGTCCTGGCAGTGTTGGGTCCGCCAGGAATTCCTTCCAACTTTGGATCAGCACCCGTCGGGAGTGGACCCTTACAGTACGCCGGAGACTTTCCGTCATAGTGATGCCCGCCCGCTGGTATCCACGCGTGCGCGTGTACACCTCAGCATACATGCGGGCGAGCATCTCAACGGGGGGCACTCCGGAGAGCACCCCCGTCGCCGCCCAGCTGACCGTACGGTAGCCCCTGCATATCCTGTTGGCTACCCGCTTCTGCACCTGTCTCAGTGCATCTCTGGGACCGCGGGCAGCCCCCAGGCATTTCGACCATACTGGGGCCCCGTACAGCAGCATGGCGTGTACAGTCCCGGCGTACAACTTCCTTACACTTCCGCCAGGTCCCCCGAGATTGGGCAGCAGGCGTTGTAGTGCCATTGCTGCCCTCTTCACTTTGGGGGATATGCGGCGGAAGTGTTCTTGGAAGGTCCACTTATTGTCAAGGTGGAGGCTCAGATATTTCATGCAGGCCCCCACCTCTATTGGGGTGTCCTCCACTGTGATGTGGACTCTCGGCGGCGCCCCGTGAGAGCCATCATGCAAAAAGATGGCCTCGGTTTTCTGGGGCGCCACTTTGAGTCCCATCCTCCTTACGTAGCGCACGACGCGGTTGATCGCTATGTTCGTCCGAGCGGTCGCGTCTTCCCACGAGGTCCCCCCGACCATCACCAGTGTGTCATCCGCGTAACACACCGTGTGACAGCCAGGGGGGAGGATGCTGTCATCACCTAAGATAAGTGGAATAATTAGTTATATGTGTAGTGAACAAAAAGAAATATGTGCTGAGATACACAGAAGTTGCCTTTAATTGTACAATGACTATAAGCTATATCTTTAGATATTATAAACTTTAATATTTAGTTTAACGTTAATAATAGTCTTAATAAAGCTTTTTTCGGGGTAATACGTTTAATACATATAGTAAAAGACAATTTGATAATTATAACAATTATTAAATACACATTAACTCTTGAGTAATATTTTCTGTAATTACGTTTTATATCTCAGTGCTATTAATCTTGTGACTTTTTCTCTTGTCGAGCTAACCAGTGATATTCCATGCTTTTGACTCTTGGTGCGTGCATGGTAAACATATAATTAAATAAATAATTAAATAATAAATGATTCTCTATCAATAATAGTAATTACATATACTAAACTACGTAACTATATGATATTGGAAGCTAAAAGTTGTTTTTAGCATGATGTCAATTATAATAATTACCTGATGCAAAGTTAATACCTTCTAATTAGAATTTATATCATTCTGTGCATACATCTTGAATATACAAAAATTTATAATCTTTCCTGTAATAACAGACTTTTGACATTAGTATTGCGGCGGTGAGTGATGTCCTCTTTGAGGTTATATGAGCTGTCCTTATGGCATATGGATGGGATGCTTCCCTTGTCATTGCATCCTAAATATGCATCTGAATCCTAGGAAATGCATATGATAAACATATATAAATGATTATTGTTACATGATTCTCTTCTGATAACAATATTTATAGATATTAAATATCTATTCAATTAAATATGATTTATTAATATTTTTATTATTATATACCTGCTTTAGACTGTTTGACGTAATTTATAAACCTTGAATTGTGATACATACATATCTGACTGCTTGTGTTGTCAAAATGACATATTGTAACAATTGGGGTTATGTCTCTCTCGGAGAATGTTTTCTCTCGGGAAATTGAGTTTAAGATGCAAAGGGACATCGGCGCGCCATCTCTGAGTGAATGGCTGTACTCGGTTGCCAAAGTTCCAAACAATCATGAACTGTGATATAGATGTGAAACTCGATGTGCCTCTTCGCGTTATAAAAGTTACTAGATATAGGGGAAACTTGAAAATTGGACAGATTCGAATTTCTCTCTTATTTATTGAATAATAAGGTGTTATTTAAACAAAAAGACATTGTTTATTGAACAATTTGGTAAACTTTACTAAATTAAATATATATTTTGTACTTTGTGTGTACTTTTATATATAACTGGACTATTGATATATGAAAGTATTGGCAGCGTATATTGAGTGATTGTATTATAATATAGATATGAAACTCGATGTGCCTCTTCGCGTTAAAATTACTAGATATAGAGGAGACCTCATAGTTGGACAGTTTTAAGTTTCTCTCTTAATCGCTCAATAATGGGGTGCTATTTAAACAAAAAGACACTGTTTATTGAATAATTTGGTAAAATTTATTAAATTAAATATATATCTTGTATTTTGTTTGTACTTTTATATATAACTAGACTATTGATGTATGACAGTATTGGTAGCGTATATTGAGTGATTATGATATAGATGTGAAACTTGATATGCCTCTTCGCGTTACTAAAGTTACTAGATATAGGGGAGACTTGATAAATTGGACAATTTTAAGTTTCTCTCTTATTTATTAAATAATAAGGTGTTATTTAAACAAAAAGACATTGACTATTGAACAATTTGGTAAAATTTACTAAATCAAATATATACTTTGTACTTTGTGTGTATTTTATGCATAATTGGACTAATGACATAGAAGAGTATTGGTAGCGTATATTGAGTGACTGATGTTGTTATTGCTTGCGTTCTGTTTTAATCAATAGGTGAACGTAAGCGATTTATGATACTATAAGCGTCGAGAAACATCTCTACAGATATTGCGGCATCTCCTCCTCAAGTAACTTTGAGGTCTGGAAGATTGCTGTTTGTGTTACACGCTATTAATTAATAATATTTGATAAATGAGTTGAATTACTGCATTGATCCTGGTTGTTGTGTTAGTAACATTAATGGAATTTTTGCAGATTATCAATTAAAACATTTTTCACATTACTGACATTACATTGCGTTGATTAGTATTATATATACATACATTTACTAAAATGGAGTCAGTTGACGATATAATAGCACGGCTGAATGAGGCCTCTTTCACACCTACGATGTTTTTAGGGTGTGCATTAGGCTCCATTAATAGATTGCGTAATAGTAGTCTCCCAAATCGCTCGGAGCTATATGTAGAGCTCAATAATATTGAAGCATGCATTAAAAGCATATACAGTCAAGGTTATAAAATGTTTGTGCCCGGTCGTATCTTTTGGGTAGAGTTGCTAGGTACGAATCACTTTTTAAAGATATGAACTTTGACAATACTGTCCGGATGGTTTCTCCTCCAAACACTGATGTTAAAGAGGTGAGCATGCGCAGACTAAACAATACTTCATCTGGCCTGAGCGAGATGGCTCCTTTAAGTCAATCTATGATTGATTCGGTGGAATCTCAGCTTACGGATTTGGCTAGGATGATACAGATGAACAAAACGGAAGACGCTTTAATAAGGTACATGTAGGTCACCTTAGTGACAAGAAAGCTGAGTTGGAAAGCT